TTCCTTACAGCAATAACTCTTAAGTTGGAGGGTAAGTTGAAGGGTTACTGATTCTGAGTTGCAAAGTGCTTTCTTTTCAAAGGGCAGAGACCGTCTCTGGGGACTTTTGAGGGGAATGTAAAGATGGCTGCTTCCTTCCTCTTTCCAGCCTCCCCTCTCCCACTCACAGCTAATTTCAGATAAGGCTCTAACCTCCAGTTCTCTATCTTTTCTAATAATCTTAATCACAGAAAATATTATTTTTTTTGTCAGATCTGTGTCAGATTTAACATCTGGGTTAAACTGTTTTAACTTGTGTTGCTTAATGGACATTCTAAGTTCAGAAAAGTTTCTAGCCCCTAAGAATAGAGATCCTCTCCCACCCACCCGCCACCCAGGTTTGTTCCTCTTTTGCCCTTAACTTCAATATTCAAGTGGTTTCTGGTTTTAGCACAGTATATCCTGTTTTCTGCTGGTAAATATGCTTTCATGGTGTGACAGCACTTGGTGTTTGCCTAGCCATTCTCCTCACCTAGAAAAATAACATTCATAAATACACTTATGAGGTAACTCCAGAGCAACGATAGTGCCTTCCACTTCTCTTATTTTGCAAAATTACTTAAACAGTTCTGATCATATAACAGGAAAACAGTTAACTGTGAGAAGGACAAACTTCATTTCTAATTTCTTTTGTCCACATATATCCCAAGTGGGTAAATAGAGAAAAAGTCATAATCATTAGAACACAGTCCTGGCTGAAGAAAGGCAGCTTTCGCCAGACTGTCTCAGACTGATATTGATGCAATAAGGACCCTAAATAAAACTAAATGTTTTCTTTCTGCCTCCCTCTCCTTGAGTCTGTGGCTCTGAACAGGAAGTCCCTTCACCAGGTGGCTTATTGTGTGCCATAAAAAGGGGAGAAAGGCTTTCGGCCAAACACAGAACACTCTCTCAGAAGCCAGAAGCCACCTCCACTCTGCTCTGCGGCCTATACCTACAGGAAAAGTCACCCTTTCCCCTCCCCAGCTCTTGCATACATACCTGAAAGCAAGTCCTTCTTTTCTTACCTGGATAGTCTATGGCTTGAGTCATAGAGGGATCCAGGCTTATGAAATTCATCAGCAAAGCCACCACCCAGGGCGCCCACACAGAGTCCATTCTGCAGAAGAGAAAATAGACAGGAAATCATCACTCTCTTCAGAATAGGGCTTGTACTATTCAAGCAAAATTTATTCATGGAGAGTATAGGTAGCTCTCTGGCCTCCCCACGATTGGAAATGCCTTGTACTGATAGCCAATCAGGATAGAAGAGTCTTGAGCATCATCAGGTGCTGGGTAGAATATTTTCATAAAGTTTTGCAATATCGCTCAAGAATTATTTATCTGCAGAATCACGGCCAGTAGGTGAGTTTTGTGAAAAATGGACTGGGAGAAAAAGGAAAAAGAAAACACTCGACATAGGCTGTGATCAAACCCCCTTAAGCTCATTCAGCTCTGTCCCTGGCCTGGCCAGACCACTGGGTCTCCCTCTAGGGTGGTTGAGGATGTCGGTTGAGAGAGATGTTGGGTTAGAGTGAGGTCTTTGGGTTACCTCTGGGAATAGTTTCCCCAGGGCCCCCCTTTTAGTGATACATAGTTTCCCTACGAGGCAGCAACATCTAGTTATATCCAAAAGGGCAGGTTTATTATTTTAAAAAGAAAAGAGAAAAAGCAATGAAAGGACGCTTACACGGGCACAGCGGGCAGAAGTGGCTGCCTCTGAACATGGTAGGTTTAGGAACGCAACGCTGCATTGTCACAGGAGGACAGGAGAGCCGCATCTTACCCGCACAGAAAGTGCACCGATACCGGCTTCTCTTTGGGAAGGGTTTGTTCCTTTGTGGAATTGTTAACTGTTGTTGGGTAACATCCTCCTTGGGTGTGATTAGGTAGAGTTGAGAGGGTCAGTGGTTCTCTACAGTGGCCTCTGGCTCCAGATCCCCACCCATGCTCTGAGCCTCCAGGTACTTGCTACAACGTGGGACACTGTCCGTAGCAGTTGGCTAAGGCAGTAAAAAGGAACACTTCTTCAGATACAAGGATGAAGTTAGAGAGATCTGGGGTGAGAAAGGGAATGAGGAAGCTCTGGTTTTGTGCATTCAAAGGACTGCTTAAGGCAAGGCAAGAGCTCCTTAGTGGTCTCTCCTTAGTTGGCACCATCCCAACAAGGGCCTGAAGCATGTGGCAACCAGAAGCGACAGGATAGGATCCAACAGGCAGGGTCAATGAGATGACACCACAGCAGCCCTGGGAAACAGTGTGAAGGTCAGGATGGACAGCATCGGACACTGGAACAGACAACAGCAGCAAAACCAGGAGGCAACGGCCGACAAGCCAATAAACAGCCTTGAGTCCTTAGCCCACTCCAATAGCAGCTCAGCGAGACACCAGGCCCGGGGCCCTTGGTGCTCTCTCCAGGCAACAGCAGTAACCAGAGCAGAGGCAGGCCCAGCCTCCCATCTCTGCAAAACTTCTTGGCTTCTCTCTCTTCAGAAGCCAGAAACAGAGTGCCACGAGTCTAGTCTGGGGCTCAGACTAGTCTGGGGTCCTGGGGCAATGCTCTCAGCTCCCTTATATCTACTTCTAGGGTCTACCCCCTGCCCCCATGATCCCTCCTGATTGGCCCACTTAAACTGACTGGCTCCAGAGGAGGAGTGCAGGCAGGTAAGCCCACCACATTTTTCTAACAGTTTGACCTGTTTAAGTGGCAATGAGAAAAACACCAGTTTCACACTGCAGTTCACACTTGCAAGGCCAGTAACACCCTCATAATCTCACCCTATATGTGCTTCAAAGTTTATGCTGCTTTAGGGAAGTGAAGAAGTAAAAATCATTATCTTGCATCCTCCTGTTCAATGAAGTAGTGTGTGTATGAAGAGATAAGCTCATATATTGCTGATAGAACTATACATTCATGACACCTCTGTGAAGCTAATTTTGCAGTCTCTTTCAGTATTAGTAAAGCATATACACTTGGACTCAGAAACTCCTCCCTTAGTTTATCCTCCTAATATTCTTGTGTATCACAAAATCTATATACGACATTACTTATAATAACGTAAGACTTCCAACAACCTAACCACCCATGAACAGGCTAACTAACCAGCTGCCACAGAGGAGCATATAGAATATAGAGTATGTCTGGCACTCAGCACAGCAACAGCACACAGTAAACACTCCAGAAATCATTACCATTGTCATTCAACTTATTGTGGTTCACAGCTCCATAAAATTCTAGCTGCAAGCCCAATATTTCCTATTTCCTAGGACCAGATGGCACCTATTCAATACTGTGGGTGCTCCCACTCACTGGCTACACAAACAGGGACGATCTTTACTCTCTTTATTCCCAAGTCCTTTTCCCAGAACCGAAAACTCCAACCCTCAATTCATAAGCAGCTACCCCACCTGGCTGGGCCAGACAGGACTTGAAATTCAAGCCTGGTCAAGGTAAGAGATGGAGGTTGTTTGGGCTTCCAAAGAAACTGAGGAACACATCTCAGATTTTCTCCTGACTATTCTTGTCTTCCTTTGGAAAGGGTAACTTGAGACTTAGTGGGAAAGATACTGATGGTAAGTGACTGGAAGCGAAAATTAAGGGGGAGGGGAATGAAATGGGGTTGAGGGCTAGGAAGAGATAAATAAAAAGAACTAGAACTCTGAGACAAACCAAAATTACTAGTTACCTGTGGTAACAGACAGACCACACGTGTAGGGATTTGTCTGTCAAGGTTGAATAGTCTCACTGTCAGAGAACATTTTCCTGTGTCCCTGGCATAAAGCTTATCTGGGAGCTTCTCCCTAGATAACAAACATTGGTGACATTTAAGATCCTCACCCCTGCTGCATCTTCCAGCACTAAATATCAGGATGCCTGAGTTTTCATCCCAGCATTGTCTGTGTAATTTCAGGCCACTTTTCCTATCTGTAAAGTAAGATTTCACTGCTATATTATTTTTAAGATGTCTGCCAGATTTAAAGTATTACAATTCTGTAGGTGTAACTATACTAAAAATATCAGAGGATTTTAACTCTTCTTCTTTCTCGTGGGATTGCAGTTTTATAAGGTTGGGGAACTATAAGAACTATCATTTCCATTTCAGAAATAGAGGAAGGACATTTGTTGGGGGGGAGGAGGAATCAGACCCACCTTCTCTCTCTCTATGTGGGTATTTCACCCTCAGTGACATTTGCGAGATAAATAGCTGTGGGGGTAAAAGGCAGCAGCAAGATGAGTCAAAGGTTTGTCTGCAACAGAAACTCCCTACTCTGGCTCTACCCCTACTCCCAACACCTGCCAGGCAGGAGAAATCCAAAACAGCAGAAGCTCTGGCTGGCTTGTTGCCAGCGCTGGAAAGTACCTGCTGTTCCTGGGAATGTGCAGGTTTCTGTTTCCTGGAACAGGTAAGTCCCGCCAGTCTGCAGTGTTGTGCACGGCTTTGGATTTTCAGTATTAAATGCAAAGGGAAGACAGAGAATGAGGACCTTGGAGGAAGGAGGTTTGTTTCTCCAGGCATTTGTTAATATTGTCTACTATGAACTGAGCCCTGTGCCAGGCAGAAGGCATAAAGCTTAATAAGATGCATTGCCTTTCCAGGTGCTCTGACTGAGGAGATCAAGGAAGACTTCCTGGAACACCTGACCCCTGAATTAAGACTTGAAGAACTTGGGTACATCAGGAAGGTGGTGTAATGACAAGGACAAAGGAAGTTTGTGGGAGCTAACTGCAACAGGAACAGGGGAGATGATAGGGCTGGAAAACCTGAAATGCTCTCAGGGAACCCTGGCAGAAAGGGAGGATGAGTGATGGAAGGATTTTACAGAGATTTTACCAGCCTCTGTGCCTTCTAGAAAGAAAAAATATTTCATGAAGAGTGGCTAGAAATGCAGATCAACTCTGGAGATGAGAAAACCTAAAGTTGTGAGTGAATGTTAAAACAATGGCACTAGAAAGAAGATAATGGATTCAGAGGTTCTCAATGCTAGAAATAAAAAAATTTTATTTGATCTGATTAGATCAGATGAATTACAGATTAGGAACACAAGAGGCAATGTAACTTATTGGGTGAGGGCATGAGTTCTGGGGTTAGGCCTGGTTTCAAATTCCAACTTCTCCATTGTATGACCTTGAGAAAGTTATATAATCTCTTTGAATTCAGTTTCCTCTCTATAAAATGACTTTAGTTTTTAGGATAAGGATTAAATAAGATAATATAAACCTCCTTTGTTTTGAGGATAAGAATCAAGTAAGACAACACATGAAAAAGAACATAGTTCCTACTCACTAGACACTGTACATGGTAATTATTATCAATGTTCTAACACTGTTAATTACAGAACCATGTGCTTTCTGTCATACTCCAGGTTTCCCCAAAAATATCAGACACGGGTGGGGATGGGAGAGGATACAAAAAAGGCAGCTTCATGAATATTTATGTCATTTTAACTATTATGTATCTCAAACCATAAGCTATCCAGGGAAAAGGTAGCCATGGTCACTAAGATAACAAAGATCACTTTCACTTTTCGATATAAATGTGTGCTATTTATATATTAAGGAAAAAGTATTCTGAAATATATTTATCATACACTACTCAGGGCCAAGTAAATCACTGCCAGTCAAGAAAACCAGGTCTTTGGATACAGACAGCACTCAGGCCAGGGGGAGGAAGTGTACATGGTCCAGGCAGCCAACCCAGCTCCAGGAACAACTCAGGCACCCCCAGAGTCTGAGGCAGGAGCTGCCGCGGTCATGATGATGCCCGTGTGAAGATGTCCCCGGGCTCCTGCTGGTGTTGCTGCTGCTGCTGCACCAGTAGGGAGTACAGGTCCTTCCCCTCCATGAGCTGGGCTTGCTCCATCAGCTGCCCCTGCTTCAGCACCAGGATCCTGTCGGCGTTCTGGATCGTCTGCAGCCGGTGGGCGATCACCAGCACCGTCAGGTCTCCACGGCCTTTCCAGTCCTGCAGCTGAAGCGGGGGGGGGGGTGGATCACTATGCTTAGGAAGAGAGGAACAGGCTGGACACCGCAGCCCCCTGGGCACCCTCTCTATGGCTTATGGGAAACACAGTGTGAAACATGAGAAGGCAGGAAAGAGCAGAGAAGCCCCACACTGCCCTCGGTAGTATGCAGCCAGATGATGGGCAGGGCAGCCCTGGCAGGAACCCACCACAGGAAATCCGCAAAGCACCTACTCTCCATCCCATTCCCCACACTAAGAAGGTGGCCAATCACCCTCCCACTGCCCAACTCTGCACAGGCTGACCCTTCCAATGTGACTCCTTGGGCGACTGTCCCCTGACCCGCCACCCCGTACTCACCGCCTGCTCACACTGGACGTCCAGGGCACTGGTGGCCTCGTCCAGGATGAGGACCCGTGGGTCGCGCACAAGAGCCCGGGCAATGGCCAGTAGTTGTTTCTGACCTGCAGCCAACGCTTTCCCTCTCTCCCCTACATCTGAAGGAGCCAGAGAAATAACCCTCCTCAGAAACAAGGGGCCACCACAAAGTCCTGCCCAAGAGCGGGTCAACGAGCAGCTGGTGTTACCGCTCCAGTGAGGAGGTTCTGGATGTCTGGGGTAGGAGGGCGGGCGGCGGGAGCCGCTAGGGGAGCTGTGCTCGGCTCCAGTTTCCCGGAACACAGACGCCTGAGGCTCAGTGGTCCGGAAGTCCGGGCGAGGCAGCTGGGTACAGCCAGCGTCGAGTTAAGGGAGCTCAACCTCACCCCGAGGGTAAGCTCCCGTTTCTCTTTAGAAGGGAGGTACCTGTACATAAGCCATGCTCCATTTCCTCTATGAATTCATCCGCTTTGGCAGCCCGGACTGCAGCCAGCACCTTTTCCTCGCTGCAGTTCTTCAGCCCATAAGCAATGTTGTCGCGCACAGAACCCGAGAACAGCACCGGCTCCTGCCCAACCACGGTCACCTGAACAGAGGGGTGCGGAGATGGTTGTAAACCCCACCTCACGTCCTCCTCTCCTCCCTCCCTCCCTCCCTCCGGCCACCACCATCCTCCATGTTCTTCTCCGTCTCCTGCCCACCTGTCGGTGCAGGTAGCTGTGTTCATACTGGAAGAGGGGTTCCCCATCCAGCAGGAGCTGCCCCCCGGTGGGCTGGTACAGATTCTGCAGCAGGGCAGCCACTGTGCTTTTCCCAGACCCATTGGGCCCCACCAGGGCCGTCACCTCACCAGGACGCAGGGTGAACGTCAGCCCCTGGAAAAGCCAGGAAAGAGTCATGAGCCTCCTTCTCCCCTCTCTTTCTATCAGAGGGTGCTTGGTCACCTCACACAGCAGCTGGACACAGTAGATGTTAGGGGCCGAGCCCTCACCTCCAGTCCACCCCACCCTGTCAGGCACCTTGAGCACAGGCTGGTCAGGACTACTAGGATATGCGAAGGTCACATCCCGGAACTCCACGAGCCCCCGCATTGTGGGAGGGGCCAGTGTCCCAGGAGGAGGCAGATTTGGCTTTCGGTCCAGGTATCGGAAAACCTTCTCCGCAGCCCCCACGTTGCTCAGCATGTCCCCACACGTGTATACGAGGGTCTGGAAAACAAGAGCCGAGCAGGTCCGTTCATCAGCTCCACCCGAACCAGCTTCCAAGCCCCCCACACGGCCCTGCTCAGCTCACACCACCCAAGGCCCCTCATCCAAAGAAGATTCTCTGCTTCCCAATGAGCAGTCTGGCCATTATTTAAAAGCCACATCAGTACCCACAGTGTTCCAGTTCAAAATGCAAAGGGTGGAGGCACCCACTCTCCTCCCACCCAGCACTGCCCTGACTTCCCTCACTATTTTGTGAACCTCTGCAGGTTCCTGACTCCTCTACCAGACAGGGAGCCCTGCAAGCAGGGACCCTGCATGCCTCATCTTTGTAGCCACCAGAGAGCCTAGCACAGCTCTCCACACATCAGTTATCTCAGAAAGTCACAAAATAAATCCAAGATGCAGCAACTACTTAATTTTGAAAACTGGTAAATACAAGGAAGGCAATAAATGTTCATTCTAGCTTTCCTAATCAAATTGTACCATCCCAGATAGCAGATGAAAGGAAGGCTCCCTTGAGAGGTGTGTTCCAGCTGATCAAGGAAGGAATGGTGGGGTGATGACCGTTTTGCCCACCCTGATGACCTAATGGACCTATGCACAGTCTCAGTGCTGACGAATCGTCCACATCTGTAGACAGACACAGATATGGGAGACAGCAGTGTGGCATATATACTGACATTCCATGTGTGGATAAGACAAGGGGAAAATTGACCACTGGTTATTTTTGATTCATGTTAGAAATTATTGTTATGATTTAGGCTTTATGGAGTTCTTTAATGTTTATATTCTAGAGAGCCATACTGAAATATTTCCACAGAACACTATATCTCAAATCTACTTTTAAAAAATATGTGTGAGGAAAGTAGGTGGAGACACAGATAAAACAAAGTTGGCCAGGACTGGGTAACTGTCAAAACAGGCGATAACTTATGGAGGTTTATTATAGTTTATCTTTTGGGGTGGGAAGCATATATTTGAAATTCTTCATAACAAAATGAGCTTTGTTTTGTGTTCTTAAGAAGAAAAACGCCCACGTTTCAGAAGATCAAAAAGAAATGAGGTGTGTGTGGGGGGGGAGTGTTGGGGAGTTAGCCTCCTGCTGACTCACGTGTATATACTGGCCCACGTTCTCTTGGTAGAGCAGAAAGGAGAGCAGCCCACCCTGGGTGAGGACCCCACCCAGGATCTGCTGCAGCCCACAGTTCAGCATGAGCACCTGCGTGCCCAACTGCAGCATCTGGAAGAGAAAAAATGGGTGAGTATGGGAAAAGGGTTTCCCCTTCTCCTCCCCCCTCTGCCCCATGACACAGAGCAACAGGACTAGCTGTAGGCCTTCTGCCTCCTCCCCAGTCCACTCATAAGCCACTCAGGTCCTCACCCTCCTAAAGAGTAAGTAGATGGCCCGTTCCAGGTCCCTGCGCCACCTCAGCTGCCGGCATCGTTCAAGGGCCTCCTTATAGCGGCAGACCTCCTGCTCTTCAGCTCCAAAGCTGCGTACAGTCTGCAGCCCTCCAACAGCCTCCCGCACCACCTGCCCTGCCTTGGCCACTGCGTCCTGGATCTCTAGAAGCACCGCCTGGAAAAGCAGAACAGAGACAGAAGGGGTTGACTGGACAGAGGCAGCAGAACCCCATGTCACATTCCAGTCCTTGGGGTGTGCCCCAGTACCAAACTGTCCTCTTTCCCTTTTCCTTACATTGCTTTCCATAAGGACTAATGAGTGTGAAGGAGGGTGGGAACAAGTATGGCAGAGCTCAGTGCTTTTCCTTAAACCTTCATTTGAGGAAATTCGTACCACTCCTACTATCTGAATGAAAATATAAGTGTTTTCCCAGAAGCCACAGCTAGTTAGACAAGGTGGAGTGAGACTTCATCATAGATCAAAGATGTAAACATAAAAGCTAAAACCATCAAGCCCTTAGAAGAAAACACACAGGGAAGTTTCTGACACAAATTTGGTGATGCTTTCTGAGCTTGATTTATTAGATATGACACCAAAAGGAAAGGTTACCAAAAATGAAATTGGATTTACCAAAATCAAAAACTTTTTTTTTATCAAAGTGAAAAACAAAATCCACAAAATGGGAGAAAGTATTTGTAAGCCATATATTCGATGAAGTATTAATATCAAGAATACAGAAAAAATTTCTGCAAGCCAACAATTCAAAAGCAGTATAATTTAAAATTGAGCCAAGACTTGAATGTGTGTGTCTCCAGAAAAGATGTAAAAATGACCAATAAGCACATGAAAAAAGGCCCAAAATCACATGGCATCAGTGCAATGAAAATCAAAACTATGATGATGTATCACCTCACAACCATTATGTCTGTAATGTAAAACACACACACGCAAAGAAAATGACAAGTTTTGGAGAAAGGTATGGAGAAAGTGAAGTGAAGGTATATTGCTGGTGGGAATGTAAAATGGTATAGCCACTATGAAAAACAATATGGGACTCAAAAAAACTTAAAATTACCATGTGAATTCTACTTCTGGGTATAAACCCAACAATAAGAGGGAAAAAAATCAAACCATTATCTTATATCCACAGCAATATATATCAGTCACAACAGCCAAGTGTTCACCCACAGGTGAGTGGCCACTGGGTTTACCAAAATCAAAAGCTTTTGTTTATCAAAGTATATCAATAGAGTGAAAAACAAAATCCAAACAAAAACAAAATCTATGTGTTGGTAGAATAGTATGCAGCCCTAAAAAAGAAACTTCTGACCCACAGATGAATCTTAAAGACATGCGAAGTGAACCAAGCCAGTCACAAAAGGGCAGATACTAAGAGAGTAACATGGAAGAGCAGAATTCACAGACAGAAAATACATGTAGCCTGCAAGTCTGAAGGAGGGGCAAACGGAGACAATTTCATTTTAAACTAGCCAGGGGGCTCAGTTTGTAAAGCTCTGGAGTGAATTGTGGTGGTGGCAGCACAATAACATGAACATTTTTACTACCACTGAACAGCACTTAAACATGGTTAAAGTGGTAAGCTTTATGCCATGTATATTGTAAATACAATTTTAAAAAATTAAGGTGCCGACTCAGGACACCTGTCAGTTTATCTCCCGTACACACCACTCATACTCCTGGCGATGATAAATGGGATCAGTCGCTACTTAAAATCCTCTAAGATGAATTTTCAGATCATTTGTGAAGAAGGTATCTACGGACTCTTTACAGAAAAACGGGTTTGTATTCTCTTTCTTTCTCTCTCTCATATACACACAGGCCTGGTGGGTGGGATCTTGGACCTCTGCAACCTGTCAGAATTGCTACTCTAAGGATTGAATAAAGAGATTCCTCCTGGACTCCCCACCATCCACCATACCTGGTGGCGGACGTTATACACCTTTTCAGCCGCAATGGTGAGAGGCACATCCAGCAGAGATAGGAGAGTGAGGCGGGGGGACAAACTGAGCATGAAGCTGTACAGTCCCACCACTTTCACCAGACTGCGCAAGAGCACATTGGCGTTCAGAGGAAGCCAGTTGCTCATCAGGGTGGTGTCCGAGTTCATCCTGGAATTCAGCTCCCCTGGGGAGGACAGAACAGGTGAGGAGGCCCTATGTGATGCTGAACCCCCAGAAACTCTTCCCTGACCTTCCCCTCTGACACAAGCCCTTCCTCCGAGTGCCTCCCTCACCTGCAGAGAGACCCGGGGCTGCCTCACTGTCCTGCCCCTCAGAGAGAAAGGCCGCAGAGCAGGCACCAGGGAGGCAAGAAGAGTTGTGTGCAGGTGAGGGAAATTGGCAAGGACTGTCCAAAGAACCCCAGAGCTGGACTCCACTCCACCTGTCTTTGTCTCCTGGAAGAAACCGAGGTCCTGGCGCAGAAGGGAGGAGAAAAGCTGCTCCCGGACCCGCAGGTTGATTCTGGACATGACGTAGGTGAAGAAGCCTCCACGGCATCCAGCAGACAGTGAGCTGCAGGGTAGAGGGCACAGTCAGTGAGTGTGGGGGAAACATGCAGAAAAGGAGGGAGTGGGTAAGCACAGAGGAGAGAAGACATGGACTGAAATAAAGGCAAAGTTGGAGCACTAGGAGGGGCAGAAAGAACAAATAAGACCAAGGGAGAAAGGAGGGGCAGGAATAAACCAAGGACATGGTGAGCTAGTGTGAGAACAAGATCATAGCACATGCAAATTCATGGGTGTTGATGGGGTTTAGTCCTCAGGAGGTCCAGGAGAGGATGAATAGAAGTGAGAAAGTGTTGCTCCTGACCTGGGTGCTCTCCCTCCAGGCTCCCTGTCTCAGTCTTTCCTCCCTGCCCAGATGGCCTCTGATGGAACTGCAGCCAGGAACCCCCCTGCCCTCACATTCTCTGGAGCCCGGGATGACAGAGGCCGCCCTCCCATCTCTCTCCTCCCTGGAGTCTGAAAATTCCTCTCACACCAACCAAACTTATTATAAAACAAGGAAACATAAAGGGGGACAGAAGATATTTTACAAAATATGAATTTCGAAATGCAAATTTAATTACCCTGATAAAAAGGCTATTGGGCCAGCTGGACATGGAATGAGCGTTTGGACGTGGTCACAGTGGGGATGGAGACCAAGGAGCTGCAGGTGAAACACTTTGAAAGTAGGTGTTATTTAAGGTAGAGAGGGTTGAGAAGTGGAGAGTTGTAAAGCTCACTGAAGAAAGAGACCAGGGATCGTTTATTCAGGAGTGACATCACCAACATGGCCGCAATGGGACCCTTCCTGGCATACTCTTCCACAAAAGTAATTCATAGGGAGTAGTAGCGGACAATTCCCAGCATTGGACAAAGTGGGTGCCCCAATTAAAGCAGAGGAAAGCTGAAGGGAGGACAAAACCAAAAAACAGGGCAAGGGAAAGTAGAAATTCAGAGATTTGGCGACTCAGGGCCCTTCTACCCACTCCCGGCACCCAACCACATAACCAGCACAAATCGCCAGGGGAAGAGAGGCAGTTTGGAGGCCAGGAAGAAACAGGGGACATCGGAAGTCTACAAAGAGCAAGGGGGGGTGGGGGGCGAGGGCAAGCGGGAGCAGCAGTGCTGCTGTAGCCACTTGAGGCTGGCTGGCGGGAGTCTCCCTTGTGGTGCGCCCTCCCCTGTTTTTCCAGAGACCTGTGTGAATAAACCCAGTTCTGAAAGCCTATTAAGAGGTGTCTCTGGCACCACCTGGTGACCACAACAAAACCACCAGCCACATTCACCTGAAACCCGGAGGCTTCCCTGAGGCTATTCCAAGAAGGATATACAATTTAACCACCTGCAGGAGAGCTATCAGGAGGAGATTTATAGGGCCAGTCCCTACATTGGGGGCCTCTAGATACCATGAGCCCCCATGTGGAAAGAGATCTCAGAAGCCCCATACTTGCCCAACTATCTCAGCCGATAGAAAGAAAGCCAAACCCAAAGCTGCAGTGGGGAATTCTCCACAGGTTACAATTTGCCTCTCAGAGTACAGTCCATACCATCCCTCAGTACACCAAAAAGGGAGACTGGGGACTCTGGTTAGACTATTCTACCCAGTCATTGGGTGCTTCCCCAGGGGACAAAGCAGCAAGGACTAGCTAACTGGGAGCCATTAGAGTCTGAGAGGCAATTCTCCCCTTCCAATTGACCTGTTTGTTTGCTTGTTTGTTTAGTTTCTGTATTGGTCAGCTGGTAGTCTTCTGTGTCCTTTTTTACCTCCATTTTCTGTCTCCTAAAGTTTTCTCCTTTTTCCCCTTCAACATTATTATTACTGCTTTCTCTTCTCTTTCTGTCACTTCCCCTCCATTTCCTCCTCCTTTTCCCTCTTTCTCATATAACCTTCACTTCTTCCTTATCACCTTCTTTCCCTTTATATCTCTGTATCATCCTCCCCACTCACTTTACCCCTTCTCTCACTCCTTATTCTCTTTTAACTTTGTTATTCTTCTGTGATATGCCTAGAGTGACCTAGACGTTCAGTAGAGAAAAGCAGTCCATCCAGACACCTCTTGCAGGCACCTCCCAGAGACTAGGACTCAATGTGTTTCTGAAGAACCAGGACCCTACACAAGATCCTAGACTAGTACTGGCTGAGTAGATCCCATTTCATGCAGTGAGGGCCAGAAAAGCAGGGATCTTAGAACAAAGCACATCTCAGAACATCTTCCGTAACCGAAATGTCTGGACATGGACCCAGCCACAGAGCCTCAGACACCAAGCAGACATCCACACTACAGCAAGAAAAATCAGCAGTCATGCTCACCAGCACCAGCAGCACAGGAGTACTTAGAACAGAGCAAAGTCAAAGGCTAACGACAGGAAGAAAGAAAAAAATACAAGTGATCAAGCAGCCTTTTCCAGAAACAATACACCACAGAAAGAAAGTCAACCTCCAGAAATCAATAATTCCTCCATCTAACAGACAAAGAATTCAAAAAGGCCATGATGTAAACAATTAAAGAGCTAAAAGAACAAGCAGAAAGAGAGAGGAACACAGTCAATGAATTGAGGAAGAAAGTGAAAGGAACTGGAGGATAATCAAAGACATGTGGAGGAGCTCAAGAACTCTGGGAAAAGAAATGGAAGAACGAATTAATATTCTTGAAGATTCTGACATAAACAGAACCAAAAAAGAAAAGGAAAGAGAAATACAAATGAAGAAGACTAAAAAGTACTTCAAGAAATTTCAGATGCTATATGAAAAGGAATATAAGAATCATAGGAGTCCCAGAGGGCAAAGAGAGAGAACAGGGAGCTGAAACTCTATTCAAGGAGATAACTGAAGAAAATTTCCCAAGCATGAAGAAAGAAATGAAAATAGAAATACAGGAAGCCAGAAAAACACCAAAAGTACCACAATGAAAAGAAAACTATAGCAAGACACATAACAGTAAAATTTCCAAAGGTCTAAGACAAATAGTAATAATAATAATGATGATGAAACTGACAAGGAGGAAGAAGCAGGTAACACACAAAGGAAAACCAATCAGGCTGACATCAGCCTTCTCCAAAGAAACACTTCAGGCAAGAAGAGAATGGAGGGACATATTCAAAAAACTCCAAGTCAACAAATTCCAACCAAGAATACTCTATCCTGTGAAGTTCTCCTTCCTCTACAATGGAGAAATAAAAACTTTCCATGACAAAAAAATATCTCCAGAAATTCATCACTACTAACCCCCCACTACAAAAAAATACTACAAGGAACCCTAGAACTAAAGCCAACAGAGGAGTGTATAGAAAGAACAGAACAATGTAAGGAATAGAATCACAAAATTACAAAGGCAGACCCCAGTATATCAGTATCTGAATGTAAGTAGACTAAATGCATTAATAAAAACACATAGAGTCACAGAATGGATAAAAAAAACAGAACCCAACTTTTTGCTATCTACAGGAAACACACTTAGCTGCAAACAAGTAATGCATATTGAAAGTAAAAGAATGGAAAACAAGCCTACAAGCAAATGGACCATAAAAGAAGACAGGAACAGCTATACTCATATAAGATAAAATGGACTTCAAACATAAAAAGGTAAGGTGAGACATAGATAGTCACTACATTATGATTAAGGGAACAATTCATCAGGAAGACATAACAATCATCAATGTATATTCACCAAACAAAGGCGCACCAAAATATGTCAGACAAAATATGTCAGACAATAATTATTGTCTCTGATAACAGACATCAAAGAAGATACAGACATAGTAGGAGATTTCAACACACCACTCTCACCATTGGACAGATCAACAAGACAAAAAATAGGCAAGGACAAAAAAAAAAAAATAGGCAAGGACACTACAGCTCTAAACAATGATTTATACCTCATGGGCTTAATAAACATCTACAGGACACGGCACTCAAAGAAATCGCAGTACACATTTTTCTTGAGTGCCCACAGATCATTCTCCAAAATCAATCACATACTGGGACCCAACATAAATATCAATAGGTACACCAAGATCAAAATCATACAAACCCTCTTCTCTGACCATGAAAGCATCAAACTAGAAATAAAACACTAAAAAAAAGGAATCCTCCTACCTCACATGGATTGAAACTTACACTACTGGAAGATCACTGGATCAATGAGAACATCAAGGAAGGGATTAAAAAATACCTCCAGATGAATGACAATGAGGAAACAACCCTCCAGAATATAAGGGACACAGCAAAAAAGTTAAAGGAGGAAAATATATAGCAATACAGGTTCACATCAAGAACTCAAAGAAACAACCTAATCTCCCACCTTAAAGAACTGGAAAAAGAACAACAAAAAAAAAAAAAGTAGAAGAAAGGAAATAATAAAATCAAAGCAGAAATAAATGAAATAGAAATTAAGAAAACAATCCAAAAGATTAGTGAAACGAAAAGTTGGTTCTTTGAAAAAAATATAAACAAAATAGACAAACCTCTAGCCAGGCTCACAAAGAAAAAATATGGGAGAATGCACAAATAAATTGAATCACAAACCAAAGAAGAGAAATCACAACAGACACAGCAGAAATCAAAATAATAAGGGATTATTATGAACAGTTATATACAAACAAGTTCAACAATTTAGAAGAGATGGATAAATTCCTACAACATAACAATCAACCAGAGCTAGATAGAGAAGAAATAGAACATCTAAACAGACCAATTTCAAGCAGTGAACCTGATATGTAATCAAAAATCTCCCCAAAAACAAAAGCCCAGACCAGATGGCTTTACTAATGAATTCTACCAAAATATTCAGAAACAAGCAAGTGCCTATCCTACACAAACTCTTTCAAAAAATTGAGAAAGAAGGAATACTACCAACTATGTTTTACAAAGCCTACATTACATTAATACCAAAAACAAACAAGGACAACACGAACAAAGAAAACTCCAGGGCAATGTCTAATGAACAATGATGCAAAAATCCAACAGAATCCAACAATGCACAAAACAAATAATCCATGACCAAATGGGATTTATTTCAGAGACACAAGGATGGTTCAACATCTGAAAATCAATTAATGTAACCCAACACATCAACAACAAGAAATAAGAACAATGTGATCATATCTATTGATGCAGAGAAAGTATTTGACAAAGTCCAGCATCCATATATGATAAAGGTTTTTAAGCTCTAGGGATACAAGGAACATACCTTAACATAATAAAGGCCATCTACAACAAACCCATAGCTAATGTCATTCTCAATGGTAAAAAGCTAAAATCCTTTTCCTTAAAGTCAGGAACAAGACAAGGATGTCCACTCTCACCACTGTTTTTCAATATAATCCTGGAAGTCTTAACCAGAGCAATAAGACAAGAAGACAGTATAGAAGGAATCCAAATAGGGAAAGAAGAAGTAAAACTATCACTGTTTGCAGATGATATGATAATATACATAGAGAATCCCAAAGCTCCACAGAAAAAAAATGTCAAAATAATCAACCAGTTTAGTAAAGTAGCAGAATACAAACTCAACACATAAAAATCAGTAGCCTTCCTACATACAATCAATCAATCTGAAGAAGAAAGCAAGAAAACTATTCCCTTTATAATTAAAACCCAGAAAATCAAATAAACCTTACAAAAGAAGTGAATGACCTCTACAAAGAAAATTACAAAACACTGTTAAAAGACACAGAAGACACAAAGAAATGGAAAGACAAACCTTGTTCTTAGGTTGGAAGAATTAACATTAAAATGGCCATCCTACCAAAAGCAATTTATAGATTCAATGCTATTCCAATAAAAAATTTCAATGACATTCTTCAAAGAAATGCAAAAAATACTGATGAAATTAATATAGAGCCACAAAGCCATAATAATCAAAGCCAAATTTATAAAAACTAGAATAAGAACAAACATACAAACCAATGGAATCAAATAGAAAACCCAGCCATAAACCCCAGCTTTAAAGACAGCTAATCTTTCACAAAGGAGCAAAGAATATACAATGGAACAAAGAAAGTTTATTCTACTGATAGTGCTGGGAAAACTGGGCTATTACATGCAAAAAAAAAAAAATGAAGCTAGACTACTACCTCACACCATAAACAAAAACTAACTCAAGATGGATTAAAGAACTAGACATAAGACCTGAAACCATACTATATATATATATATATAAGAAATTATTGGCAAAACACTACATGACATATACCTCAGTAACATCTTTAAAGACACATCATCTAAAGCAAAGATAGTGAAGGAAGGGATAAACAACTGGGACTATATCAAATTAAAGAGCTTCTGCACAGCAAAAGAGACATTAACCAAAACAAAGAGACACCCCACTGATTACGAGAAAATTTTTGAACACAATACTAATGATAAAGGACTGATCACAAAGATCTACAAAGAGCTTGATCACAAAGATGTACAACAACAACAAATGCAACAAAAATAAACTGAACAACCCCATCAAAAAATGGGCAGAAGAGCTACAAAGACACTTTTTGGCAGATGGCCAAAAGGCGTATGAAAAACATGTTCATCATTTCAAAAACATCATTTGTAATAAGTGATATGCACTTGGAATGCAAATCAAAACCACAAAGAGATATCATCTCACACCAGTGACAATGGCACATATTAAAAAAACTAGCAATAACCAATGTTGGCAAGGATACAGAGAAAAAAGGAACCCTCCTGCACTGCTAGTGGGAATGCAAACTGGTACACCCACTATGGAAAGTTTGGAGGTTTCTCAAACTTCTAGAAATGGAGTTTCCATGTGATCCAGCAATTCCACTCCTTTGTACCTACCCAAAGGACACAAAAACATTCAAAGGACACCTGCACCCCCCCCATCTTTATTGCTGTTCTATTTACAATAGGGAAGATGTGGAATCAATCCAAATGCTCAAAAGTAGATGACTGTATCAAGATGTGGTACATATACACAATGGAATATTACTCAGCAATCAGAAAGCTAAACGCATGCCATTTGCAGCAACATTGATGGAGCTGGAAGGGATCATGCTTAGTGAAATAAGCCAGAAAGAAAAGGAAAAATACCAGATGGTTTGCTCATAGCAGGAATGTATGGGATCAGGAAAAGAAAAAAGTAATTGTAATAAAGTAAAAACTAAAATTAATAAGCAACTATTAACCACAGACACTCAATGGGAATGGAAAGAGTGATAGGATCAAAACAGGGGTGAGAAGAGCTCATGGGACTATGTGATGGAACATGGGTGAATTGATGGTGGGAAACCCATGGAGATTACAACCTAGATTTTAAAAAATGTACAAAATGAAGAATAATGTAAAAATAAACTGTATTTAAAAAGAAAAAAATGACTTATTCAAATGACAAATACGGCAGAAAAGCAAAGCGAACTGAGAACTGATTTTTTTTAAGTCATGGATTGATCAATAAATAGACCTTTGATGGACTGACAGCAGCAAAGAGCAGCAAGTATAGAATGAAGGTGTAAGGAAAAAGTGTCTTGGGGCATTCTAAATGAAGTCTGACCATAATAAAGGTGTATTATGGGGAGGGGAGAATATCAGGGTGAGGTACAGGCATAACCCCAGCATCAAGCACCTCCTTAAATTTTGCACCCATTCCAACTCTGGCAAGTAAGTGGAAAAGAATTAATATGCTTGAGAGAAAAAATAAAAAGCTATAAACTTCAGAGCAAGATCTCCATCAACTGACAAGATCAGTTAGGAAGAAGGGTCAGGAGCGAGAAGCGTGCCCAACCTGACTTTGGAAACAAAGTGGGATGGGAAATGAGACAGGAAAGAAAAACGGGGTTTCAAGGAGAGAGCAATGTTGAGAGACATTCCTCAAGACACCCAAACTACTCTCTTATATTTGTTCACACTTGTATCTATAGTAACAGCATGTAAACTTTGTAGATGTTGAATAAATGTGGTGAAATGAGGAATGAAGTGATATGAAAACAGAACAATGAGTAAATAAATCCACACCTATGTAAGTCTAAGTATGGGGTGCTTTGTGCACAAAAGGTTCTGAAAATGGAAGTAGGAAAGTGTGGGTCCTTGCAAAAGTGGCTAGCAAAAGACCGAAGGGCCCATCACCTACCTCCCAAAGGAGAAGACACACATGAAAAAGATGGCACTGACGAAAGCATCATGGTCAAAGTCACCTCCCAGGATGTCAATCACTCGACCAGAATAGTGTGGGATTACTGTCTCACCTGAAAGAGGCAGGAGGATACAGGTGAAGGTATGGGGCAAGGGGTCTTTTCCCACTTCCTAGCAACAATACCCTCTCTTGACTCACCCAACACCGCAAAAACCAGGAAGGTGAAGGCCGCGATGAGGAAAGGCAGGTCTGGTCTGGAGAGCCTCAGCAACCTCCACATCAGGGCTTTGCTGTTCTGGCCGCTGTCGCTCTCCTGGGCCGCGGAAGGGCTCAGCACAGCCCACACTGCCCAGCTGAGCCCTGCAGCCCCGTACCCCACCAGCAGCCAGCTCCAAGAGGCAGAAGCCACTCTGGTGGGGGGAGCACTCAAGGCCCCAGGGACCAGCGCCCTCAGGGAGAGAAACAGAGGCATCGCCAGGCAGAGTAGGGGCAGCAGAGCCCCCGCGCGTCCCAGAAACCTTCCCAGCTTCAGCAGCAACCACAGCCCTCCAAATCGAACAGCCCCCTCCAGCCATAGGCCTGGAAGGTTCCCGGGAAGCAGAGTCCCCAGAGTACCCTGAAGCAGCCAGAGTAAGGCCAAGTCGGCCAGCAGCAGAGAGACCCAGGGTGTCAGGTCCGGGAGCCTCATGGCGTTACCTGGGGGTAGAAAGTGCGGTGATCGAGGGGCGAAGCCCCAGTTCTTGTCCCTAACTTCCCCAACTCCATCAGTCCCGTCCAGGGGTGCTCATGTTATCTGAGCCTACCCAGAAAGACCCCGTGGGTATTCGTGCTCCCCAACACAGCCCTCCAACAAAAGAAGGCACTCGGCGGGCAGAGGAGCCGAGGAGCCCTCCTTTTAAAAAAAAAAAAACTGCCCTTGCTCCCGCCGCCGTCGAGTTCCAAGGAGCCCGGCGCTCCCTGCCAGGCACCCCGGCACCCCGGGTCCCGCGTAACCCGACGCAGAGGGCGCAGGGTCGGGGGTGGAGGACAGTCGTCCTTGGACGTCCAGGTTCCCCTCGTGCCACTCACCGGCCGCGGCTTCGGTGGTCTTTCGGCTAAGTGCTGAGAGCTGAGCTCCAAAGGGCGCTCCCGCCGCCTCAGCTTCGCTTCGCGTGCCGCCCCTAAGCAGCGGTCCCCACGCTGAGGCTTTCGCTTTCGCTTCCCCAGCAGCGCCTGCTGCAGGGCGCGGCCACAAGAGGGAGCGCGACAACCGCAGACGCAGAAACGATCCCGAACTCCAGGGACCGTTGCCAGGCCCTCAGTGAGTCGCTGGCCTCCAGCATTTACTCTGTAATAGGAAACTGTTGCTATTCAGAAAAATTGCTAAAGCTCTTTCATGAACTAGGATCCGTTGTAATCGAAGAACCAGTGAATTTTCTTATCTCGTACTCTGAACCTCTTTTTAGAAAACTGTCTAACCCTCTCCCCCACTGTCAGGGTCTTGGGGTAAAAACAGAGCCCTGTACTGGTCTGAGCAAGAAACAACGCAAAGCATCTCTCGTAAGTAGAAAGCACCAGCCTCTCACACCTAAGTGGGTCCCCACGTAGAGATGGGGGGGGGGAGGCTGAGAAGGACCTTATTTACGTGGTTCTTCTCAACATGGTTCTTCTCAACAGAGTATGGCTTCAGATGCCTCAAGAGTTATGCTCCAATTTATGTTGGAGGCTTTCTCCATAGAAGGGAAGTGGACTTTTGTTTCTTGGTCTATTTTATCACTAATGAGAACATAAACAGTCTTCTCTACATCCTTTCCTACCCACAGCCTATCCCTGGAACTTGAACATTGTGTATTCCAGAAATAACCCTTCAGGTTGAAGCTATCTCCCAAACTCAAAATTGCCCCGAAGGAAGGACCACTTGTATTCCAAACCATTCCGGTGTGATTATCAATAAGTTACTTCAACTTTAAATATAGTTGAGGATGAGGTGTGGGGGTTGAAGTAGGGACTCCTAAAGTTTCCCTAGGATGTTGAAGATCTCTACCTGCTTTCATTCTTTTTTTTTTTTTCTTAAGATTTATTTATCTGTGCATACAGAACTGGGGTACAGGCCAGAAGTGCAGGGGCCATGAAAGGATTCACCAGAGACAGAGTGGTAGGACAGGCATGAAGTACACTGCTGAGGGGGGCAGCAGGCGGGTCAGGAGAGGTCTGCTGCGCGGTGTGGATCACCTCCACCACCTCCGGGGCAGGCGGGAATCCAACTCATGCTGAAGTGGCTTTAGCTTCTTAGTGCTGTGCTTTAACCTGCTGCGCCACCAGGGAGGGCCTCTGCTTTCATTCTTAACTGAACTTAACTCTCCTCTTCCCTGCAGTCCCAACACTGTTCAGAAAATCTCACTATGTCTATCTTACTTTCTAAACTGGTTACTTTTTCTGCCTATTCCCAACTGACGGGAGTTCTCCTTCTTGCCTGACTCTTCAGTCATGACCTGTCGTGAAAACTATGGCACTCCATCGAGCATGCCACGTGGTGAAACTGAACCTTTGATAGCCCTCTTTACATTCAATACCCAATCTGCCCTGAATGCTACTTAAGGGAAATGCCCTGTATTTATAATTACAACACATATGAGTTGGAAGCTTTTTCATCCAACCCTGCAAGCTGAAAAACAAATATTCTATGTGCCCTACTTCCCAGCACCCAAACCATTACCAATGAACCACGGAGTAGTCACCAGCTCATAACCCCATAGGAAGGGCCCCAACTTTAAATCGCAATAATAAACAACCATGGTCAGTCTTCTGAAATCCTGGAGCGATGAGTGTGGAAAGGAAACCAGGAGATAGATTCAGTAAGGCACTGTTTCTTAATGAGGATTTTGAGTCTTCTCAAGCAACCTTTCTCTATTTCCTGTACCCTCCCCAACAACCACAGCCCAAGTCTACTCAGCCACAAGAGAAATATTTGTAACTGCTTTTTTCTTTTTCTTTTATTACACTTTGTGGAGCCCCCAGAAGGTGAAGGGAGGTCTTCCTGGAAATAGAGGACACACAAAATGATAAACTCCTCCCACCCTGTCTGGCAGCTGGGCCTCCATCTCTGGGCTCAGGTGAGGCCCCTCTTCTGGAAAATAAGCTGTCCTAGGTCCCTGAGTTGACCAGGCTTTCCCCGAAGAGGTTACTGGCAGCCACCACCGTTACTGAAGGGCGTCCCGGTACTGGTGCATCAGGTCACTGACATCCGTGCTTTCCACTTTCACCCAGCCATCTCCCTTCATGTGGTACACTGTAGACAAAGGAGAAAGGACACAGAGTCACCTTTGTCTTTGTCTCAGCACCTGTTAATGATGTTATTTGGAAAGCCACAGCAACACTCAAAGCCCATGCCACCTGAGCCTGAAACCCCTGGCCCCTTCCTCCTTCCTCTGCCACTCTGCCTCCCCAGAGTCTCCCATCCAGAAAACCCTTGCTTACTCCCAGGAAATGTTGGTTCTTACTATTGACAACTCCTCCAGAATAGTTGTCTCGGTGGGTGGCGTGAACAATAGCCCTGCGGCCCAAGTCATAGGCTTCTTCGGGGCTGAGATCTGGCCGATAGCCACTGTCCATGACCCCGTAGGCAAAGGTTCTGCCACTACCCGTGGAGAACATATTTCCTGAGAGCCGGGTCCCATTTTCATCTACATAGTAGAGTCCAGGACCCTGTGGAGGAGAGAAGGTTCCAGGTGGGAACAGAGAGGGAGTGTTAGTAGCACAGGCTTAAGTGTGAGGCATGAAAAGTGGCAAAAGAATAAGAATTGCCACAGTAATTCAAGTGACTAGGACAAGACTTTTGTAACACTATAGAACTTTAGAAATAAAAGGGAAAAACAAACTTGGAATCAGCTACCTTATTAAAAGAGACAAGCATGTGAAACACACACAGTGGTCCATCTCTGAACTAAGTGCCAACATGTGGAGCTGCAGAACATTCAACAGTGGGAGTGGGGAAACAGGTCAATCATCCAGGGTTGGGGGCATGACGAGTACCCACCTTCTTGTCCCAGCCACAGATCATACTGCCCATGCAGAGGCCCATGCCCCGATACTGACACATCATGTTGGAGAGAAGTTTGGAGGCTGCTGATACTGAAATCCGCTCCCCATTCCGCAGATAGTACAGCCTGGGTAAGGATAAAGTAGGGAGAGAAGACTCAATGGTGGTAGAAAAAGGCTAGGCCTCTGAGGGACCCACTTGATGGGCAGGAAATGACTGACAAAATACACTTAAAAGGAATAGTTTATAGGATCTAATCTTCAGGAAGGGATTTGGAATTTAAATATCTAAGCCACAAAAAGAAATCCTAGTAAATGATACTCTCCCACCAAGATAGATGGTGTCAGTGTTAAATACTTGAATTATGTGGCTGTTGACGGTTGCACAGGGAAAGAAGGCTTTTTTCATCACAAAACATTGGCACTAAAGTGCCACATTAACATGGGGTGGGGGAGTTGGTGCAATGTGATTTGGAGGATCCAGGATAAGGCTGGGATGGACCACTAGGTTTATAAGGGAGATGAGAGCTCTGGCCTACCTGCACTCCTTGGCCAACAGACGCTCCCAGTACTGACAATCTGCCGCACTGCCAGACATGGTCCCAAGCAGGTAAGAGTTAATCTCGATCACCTTGTTCACCATGAAGCAACCTGGAAGAAGATGGCATTTTGAGAGAGCAGGAATGACTGCATGCCCCTCCATGGGTGTCCTCAATCAAGGTACTTTGGTGCAACCAGGTTCTACTATGGGACACACACGTACATACACAGTCACTCACTAACGTAATTCCCAGCTGTGGCCCGGGAATCCACAGCCACAATCACCCCATGCTGGAACTTGAAGGCCAGCGTGGTGGTTCCATGGGCCATCTCAATCCGCACATCGCGTTCTCCATTCCTACCCACGGTCTGGAAGAATTCGGTGGGCTAATGAGAGAGAAAAGGCAGAAGAAGCGACCATGAAAACTTATTCAGGAGGCTCCAGAACAGGGACTTAAAGAGTGTGGGAGTGAGGAGATCACAGAAATTCTCCAGCCATCAACAGTGGAATAGTTTCTAACCAACCTCTACAAGGAAGTGACACAAGAGAAAGACAAGGCAAACTGCAATGACCTTTTCCATTTTCCAATGCAATAGAAATTAAAGGAAAGCATTGCCTTAACATTTTTTTAAAGATTTATTTATTTATTCATACAGAACTGGGGTACAGGCCAGAGATGCAGAGGGTGAGAGGATTCACCAGTGACAGAGTGGGGAGCAGAACAGGCAGATCGACAAAGTACACTGCTGAGGGGAGCAGCGGGCTGGCCAGGAAAGGTCTGCCCTGCCATGTGGTCTCCTCTGGGGCAGGCGGGGATCAAACTCATGCTGAAGTGGCTTTAGCCTCTTGGTGCTGTGCTTTAACCCACTGTGCCACCAGGGAGGCCCTTAACTAACATTTTAAGGATTCATTTCTATTCGAAGAATGGAATTAACCCTCAGAAGGCACATTTGTTAGTAGTATACCCATTTTGCAGAACAGAGATTGAGGACTGCATGGAGTGACTTGTCCCAGGACACATAACAGTGAGTGGCTGAGGCCAGGCTTACAGCCAACATTCACAGATTTTCCTTAACACTCCACTGCCTGTCTTATGAGAGCCTCCGTGAGAAAGGCTTGGTGAAACATGTGTGATGAAAACATACGGCAAAGTCTTCAGTCTTCCCCTCTCTTCTACCATTTTGCCCTACTCTCATTTCTTAAGGCTGGGCCAGACAGCCCACGTGGCATGACCCTGGCTGAGGTCAAGAGCTCTCCTCCAGCACTGTCCCTGAGTGGTCCCGGGCTCTGGGCAGCCTCAGGTGACCCCTCCATTCCCCGGCGCTCTCCCCCGCACCTCAGTCGGGGTTCCCTTACATCCCAGACCTGCATTCCTCGGGGGAGGGCGAACTCTGGAGATCGCAAGGAGAACATGTAGTGTCCAGGGTCCGAGTGAAGCTCGCTTCCCGCGTCTAGGAACCGCCGGTGGTCCTGCCGCCCTCGCGGGACTCCGCACACCTCCAGCAACGCCATGGTCCGCAAGCACCCGCAGCTCTGTCTGGCTCCGAGGAGGAAGTGAAAGCGAAAGCCTGCAGCCTTAAGGGGAGGGAACCAGATTTTCTCCCCCCACATCCCCCTGCCCTTTCCAAGAAGAGGACATTGGGTATCTTGGGACCGGGAATATTACATTGGGGACAGATTTCTCTGCTCTGCCTTTATGAAGGTTGGGGAAGCAGTGGGTAATTAGAGCGAGGACAGAGCTTTGAAACCCCGTTGGCCATGAGAATATGAGACACACCAACTGGCTGGACATCTTTCGAGAGAGCGCGAACAGATAGGACGATAGGGGCGATCGCAAATGAAGGCGTGGCCGCAGCCAGAAAGCTGGGAATCTGCATGCAAGGAGCGGGAACAGTTTCGTGTCGGGGGATGACATGAGATTGGCATCACTTCATAAAATCTGGAAAGGACTAGGAGTTCGTGGGAACGTTGAGACTAGAGCGCGGGTCCTGGGGCAACTGGCCACAGAACAGACCCGCAGCAAGGGCGGGAAAGGGATTCGAGGAGAGCGCAGCCTCTCGGGACCTGTGGAAGGCTCCGCCTTCCCAGCCCGTAGCCACCCGCCCCGTCAGTCCCCACCTCCTCGAACAATGCTTGCCGCGACTGAGCATAGGGGCTCGTCTAAACCCAACCAGTCCTTGCAACCTGTGTTGGGCTAATCTGCCCAGCAACCGTTGGCGTCACAGGATGGGCGCTTCTCTAGCACCCCGCCTACCACGCCGCGACGCTCTCTAGTGCCACTTCCGAAGGGATGGGCCTTGCAAGAAAGGGCCTAGGTGAGGAGGTAGTGAAGTGAGGTGCTACCGGCTCCCAGGGCGGCGCTTGCACTTCCCTTAGCTCCCTGCTAATTCCCACTTCAGATAGGCGCAGGCTCACAGCTATAGCTGCAGCTGCCAGTGCCCCAAGGCCCTGCATCCCCAACTCATTTCTGGAGGAAGTGGGGAAGCAGAGGGGGCAATTGTGGGAAATAGAAAAATAAAAGTAGATAGTGAGCAGAGGACTCTGAAACACCAAAGATGCTGAAAGGGACCCACAGCCCACTTCTGATGG